CCCCCCCCCCAAAGGACCACTGACCGCAGGCTAGGCTGAGCCACTATTCCCCATCCTCCAGCAGCTTAGGCGCTTTGAAGATGTTGACACACAAACAGGATGAGAAATGCACCACAGAAGCAGAGAAAGGCACGTGTTCTCTCAACTTGGGGGTGGAAGTGTCGCCAGACATCATGGTTTTTTGGTTTTTGTTTTTTTTTTTGTTTTTTTTTTTTACTGTTTATCACTTTCTTTGAATTATATTTGCTCTCCCCCTCCAAAAAATATTGCATGTGATGACTAGGAATATAAAATAAATTACCTTTGCCATAGGCTGCTGGGTTTATTAGCCCCTTTCTAGCTCTTCACAATGTAAAGGACAGGCTGACCTAGAGTGATCTCCTCCTTCCAGTGGGCTCTCTCTCCTCTCAGTAAAGGGAGCCCTGCTATTTGTGCGTTTAACAGCTTAACCCTTTCAGTGACTCCAGACCTCCGTATTCTTCGAGGGATTTTTTTTTTTTTTTTTTTTTTTTTTGGAGGGAGAGTGTTCAGCTTTGGGGTGGCATTTAAAATTTTAAGGCAGCTGATTTATATTGTCCATATCCTGTATATATTAAAAAAAAAAAAATAAAGAGAGATGAAAACCGAGCCCAGGAAATAAACATGGAAGAAAAACACAAAAGTCCAATGGCTTCAGAGGTCGAGAATTTATTTGGATAAGGTCTGCACAGTGAGGGTCTTGCTGGAGGGGGCGGAAGTTGCCCATTTTAAAGAGCAAATGTTAATAAACGTACCGAAGCCTATCCCTGACTATATGGAGATCAATTAGTGAAATAGGACCCATTGCTCTTTTCCTTTAAATGCCTGACAAAACCAGTTATTAAAGGTGGGATCTAAGTCTTCTAAGGAGGGAAGCAAATGCTAGGTTCTAATGAGCAAAAGAGCAGAGGTCATTATTTCGCTGGGGTGTTTGCTATTTACTCCCAGTCATGCACTTGACATCGTCCTTCTTATTAGCAAGGCTGGGGCAGCGCTGGAGGGTGTTCAGATCATCTCCTCCCAAATCTGGACTCCTGGACAGTCCTCCCCCGCACGGATGAACGCCCCCATGAGTAACTCGCCTCCCCAGCCTGTCCGGAGTCACCTCGACTGCTGGCAAATGGTTCCTCGGAGCAAGGTACGCACTACGGACAACCGGAGGCTGTATATTTAAACAATTATGGGCCTCTGTGTGTCTCTGCCTCCTGCTGCACAGTTCGGAGCAAGATGGTGTAATATGTGCATTTTACATATCAATGGTAGAAGAGGCTGTTTCCAGATGGCCGTACCTATTTCAAAGCCACCTTTTTATGCACGAGGAAGACTGGGTGACCTCCTTCCAAGTAAATGTGTTTTGTGAGCCCTGGGAATGAATGCTTAAAAAAATGGTCCTGGGCTATATTTCATGTCCAGTCCATCGCGTTGTGTGTGCACAGCTGTTCGGGGCTGGCATGTGGTAGCATATTAAAAGGAAGATTACCATTTCCCGTTTTTTCCCCCTTCTGAAGGCTTGATCTGCATATATGAAACTTGTGGAAAAAATAGGCATAATGAGACAAGGAAGCTGGGTCTCAAGGCACTAGTCGGTGCACATCTGGAGTTTGTAGCATTCTAGAGATAGTTACTTATTCCCAGGAGTCCCCCTCCGGAATGGGAATGGTAGCCCGGTATCCATGGTGAGCTTCCCTATCGCACCGTGCCAGGTGTGCGCGTGTGTGTTATTTCTTGGAAAGGCTGTCCTCTGAGGGGTGGGAGGGGAGAGGACCAGAGGAGGGAAAAACAGAAGGGAGGTAATTAGGCGCCACCTCGCCCAGTGGAGCCAGCCCAGGCGTCTGAAATCAGGAGTGGGTATCGCAGGGGCGCTGGAGGAGTCAGATGGTGTGCGTGGAGCCTTCTCGGCGCCTGCCAGCTCCACGCTTGTTTCTATGGGGACAGGACCGGGGAAGAGAAGCCCTGGGGTCAGAGGAGGCACACAGATAACAGTACCAAGCAGGAAGGATCTGGGAAGGTCCTAGGCAGTGTGATTCTGTTCTTGAACTGACCATCTGAATTCATGCTGATTATTTCCCAGTTAAGAAATTGGAAGTGTTTCAGACCTCCTAGGCTGTAATTTAGAAAAAGACTTCGTGGGATAGCCTTTTTGTTGGATAGCTGGCCGGCTGGTCTTTGTATTCCCATTTAATGGATGGAGAGGTGGGGGTCTGGGACTGTACGGATCTGCCTCACCTGAGGGGTAAGCCGGGAGGGAGTCTGGGAAGTTTTCCCAAGGAAGAGAGTTCATTAGAGTTTCACAGATTCATGCGATTCGTGGCCTTTTTTTTTTTTTTTTTTTTTTTTTCCTTTTGTGCTGCAAGATTGTGAGGTTCCAGATGCTCTGTGTAAAACAATGCCCCACAGGGGAAAGCCAGGGAGGGGAAGTGTGAGGTCCAGCTTGAGGCCACCCTAAAAAGGGCTATAAACAGCAGCTGCTTCTATTGTGTGCTGTGCTTCTATTCCAAGTGCTGCCTGTGAGTTTAGGCCTTCCAGCTCCTTGTTTCTTTCTCTGAAACCAGATGTGGCCAACAGGAGTCTGTCAAGTCAGCGGTGGACCCCAGATGGTGGGAGTCCGGGAAAGGAAGCCTAGGGGCACACGGAGGGGTTTGGGTGCCCAGCGGGAGAGAAGGTCATCTCCCCTTTCTCGGGGACTCC